TATCTTCTATAACCCTGAGAAGAGCTTAGCATTAGTCTGATAACCCTGTTTAAGTGTTAGGGAGACGGACGTCAAGGTAATTTTTCTTCTGATTGAAGGGAAGATGCAAGGAAACCTATGGCAAGAAAGACCTCCCCAACATCTGTGTTTATCCTCCAGCTAAAACCAAGAAGCTATATTTACCCCAGTCAAACATATCCAGCACAGGGGGGAGGAAAAAAAGATGTAGCTCTGGTGAAGCCTCTGTTGGGCCTGGGTTTCCCATTCCATCTGAAATCCAAAGATGATCCCATCCTCTGAGAATAACACAGCGTGGTAATTCATGCACCTTTTTCTTTGACATTCTCACACGTGGTTGTGCTTTTCTGATTTCTCCTCTGTTCTGATAAGAAGAGAAAAAAACTGTAAACACCATATTTGCAGTGTCTGACCCTCCGGGGATGAAAGCAGGACAGAAGATAGCTGATAGATCAGCTGCCTACGGAAGGGAACGTTTTATAGCTGCAAATGACCATAAAGCTGAACTGTGCTTCAGGAAACAGAGCTGGCTCCTCGTTCTGTAAATCTCTGTCCTTTTGACACTGTCATGCTTGCAGATTTATGAACACGACCCTCAGGGGAAGCAAATATATCAACGTGAGTGGCGACAGGGGGCTACAATGCTGCTGGTGGTCTAATACATTTTCATTCTTAGCTGCACACCTGCACTTTGACTAATGCCTGTGGATGAGGCACACCAATCAAGGCACATATCAGCCAGTGGGTGACCTACAAGGTCAGAGGGTAAATCTCTGTCATGGCTACAAAAAAAAAAATCCATCCAATAAAAACATTTAAAAAGTCATAAAAAGTCATGCTGACTATGATTAGATCTGCATGACTAAGAATCATCATATTACAGACTGAAATAAAACTATATTACATAATTATTGGATTTCATTTGAATTCTCCCGTGTAAGCATTTCCCTCCACAGGCTCCACCCTGCTTTATTCTCTCGAAAACTTTTTGATAAAGACTGAACAACTGCAGTGACTAATGCATACCATTCTAAATTAAAATATAGCATTAAAAATTGCTCTACTACTACACTGTCACTGTATTGATTTGCAATTAAATTATTTTTCCCCTGTCAGAGCCAAAGTACAGTTTAAGGTATTAAATTGCTGATTTTAATAATGACTACTATTTCCCAACATTTCTGGTTCTGCTGATGACTCAAAGCACACTGTAGGTTTTGCCATCTAACTGCAGGGAGGAGTACTTGGTATCAGTGAGTACAGAAAATGAAACTACAACAGGTCCTTGACTCGAGAAAATGTGAATGCAGCACAGTCCAATGTGTGGTGTACAACCAGTTAACAAAGTGCCTTCCGTGTATAACACTGTGTGACAACGGATTTGTTTTAACGCCATTCGTCGGAATGATGGAACAAGACTTTCTTAAGACATTGATATGTAAAAAATGGTATTAGGACATGGTGGCCTAATAATTTGAATAGGGTAAACTCTAAGAGAAAGAGTTGTGTGCGCGCAAACATGCCTCATCTTGCTTTGCTTTGTATAGAGCATTTGTTTTTTAATCTTAGATAACACATGCTGTTGGTGAGTTTTAATTCTTTGTCACCACAACAATGTGCTTAGCACTCAAGCAGAAATTATTGGTTTTTGATTGCAACAAAACAAAGATTATGAATCTTTGATTATGAAAGTCACGCCAGAGGTTCACTTTATGAGGAGTATGAACTTACAGCTTCAAACTACAATTAAGACAGACAGATTCAATTAAAAAAAGATTTATGTTGAATACTGTGGCCTAAATATCTGTTTACACTTGTTCAACCTTTTAAGTTCAAGTTTAACATAATACTATACAACTTATCGCCCTGACATAGACCAGATGGCATCCTTAGCCCCAGGTATTATTCTGCTATCAGGACACACCAAGTATTTGGGATGCATATCATTTGGAGCTCAACTGCGTGTGTTTGTTTTTTATTAAGATTTATTGAACCCAGCCACCTCCAAAGATGAAACAGAAACTTGGCACAGCGACTTTTTTTTCTAAAATTACAAACAACAGGAGGGCTGCCAAGGTGCTGCGGTTGGGGAAGAAGAACTCTTACCAAAGCTGGAGCCAGCACACTATGGCTGCTGCCGAAAAACATAGTAACTTATAAGACAAAAAAAAAGCCAAAGAGAAAACAAGAGAAGCCCGTGACTGCACGTCTCTGCCACACCTTAACATACCTTCGCCAGAAACAAAGGAACAGAGAAAAAACAACAAACTCATAACTGTGCCATACCAAACTGATTTAACACAAACATGTTTTCAGAAAAATCAAACCCAATTTATGCGGCCCATACAGCTGTTCTCCAAGGAAGGTAATTTGTGGCGAACGAAACTTGCACTAAAACACAAGACATTCCTCAACATCTTCATAGTGGATGGTTTGTTGTCAAGTACGCACTGAATCCAAAAACAACAGCTGGAGGAGCTTCACATGTGTCATGGCGATGAAGCTGTGACATTTGAATAGATGAGCGTGGATAATGGAATATTATGGCCAAAATAGCCAAACAGACACGCTTGTTATAATAATATGAGGCTACTGAGTTAGTGCTAGTGCAGGGGGCTGCCCAGAGGACCCCGAATATGACACAATGCAACAATGAGACAGGGCCCACTGTGAAATATGTCAAGGAACTGCACCTGACATCAGAACAGTCCATGCAGAAACAATGTTCATGCAGCTAAACAGATGGTGTGGCCCTATTAGAGCATCTGTGTGTGTGTGTGTGTGTGTGTAGTGGATACTCGTGGGCAGACGTCAAATACCGTGTCCATCCCTGTTTTGCTAGCATCGTGCAGTTCTACTCCTGTACAGCCCTTTACACCTAAACTAACATTACTGTTACTACAGTGACCAGACCAGAACCTTGGATTTGGGTTTATTACTGGTCATCAAGTATGTTGGTGTCAAACTATATAGTCTCTAATTTCTCACAAAAATATCATCTTATCATCTAGTATTACAGCACATTCACTTCTAAGTTAACACTAAAGCAGACGAAAGTGATATTTGTGTATAAATATATAAGAATACACCAAACAATATATGTATGCAATAGTAACCTCATGTTCTCAACAGTTTTAAACTTTTCTTGAGGCAGTCTTAAAGCACTGAAGGATTGTTTGATGACTTCTGTGACACATCAGTATTACAAGGTCATTCATTTAATCTTTCAGTATGGGCATGTTATGTCTGTGTGTCACAAATGTCCTTATTTGCTAAGGGAATAAAAAAACTGTGGGTAGGTACCAAAACCATCTCATGAGAGCACTGTGTCTCTTCGCTGTGCACATGAGCGGACCATCTTCAATTTTATACTTAATAACGTTAATGTGCTGTAGATTTCCTGATGTCAGCAGGGCCTATAAATAGCACATCAATTTGCTGCCCAGTTTAGTGAAGCTTTAATTATATCACATTTTAATACCATGTAAGGAATGTAAATGTCTTCATTCAGAGTCTGTTGCAATCAGCTGCTGAAAAATGGTAGGTTGGATCCACTTATTATGTCAACGTTACACAGAAGGAAATGTACTTTTCAAACGTTAATTTTCTCAAAAGCAAATTATCTGAAAATGTATAAAAGGACAAACAACCACAAAAACAAAGAGAATGGTCACTTTGAATTAGAAATACAAATGCTGTAGTACAATTATCCAAAAAGGGATTCAAACAATATACATGCGATTTATTGTATAGTGTAGCGGTTATCATGCCTGCCCTGCACATTTACCCTGCATGCAGAAGGTCCTTGGTTCAAAACCCAGAGGACCCACATACTTGGTGCTGACCACCTGGGCATCTGGCTTTGGGCTACTGTGGGCCCAGGAGCTGGTTGCATACAGTCTGTCTGCTGTATATACAAGCAGGTTGAGACGTTAGGTCATTTCCAGATTTCCCATGGTTATGATAATGCAATTAGTTCCAGGTGAGAGACAACAAGAGCTAAGATGTGCAGTGAAGCCATGCTCTGCTGCTCTTGCTCGACAGATCCATCATCCTGATCCTCGACATGTCATTTCCTGAGGTCTGGAGAATACAGCAGCAGCAGACGCAGCAGATACGGGGAATCACTTCATAAAAGGAGGCATCATCACTTCCATATTCAACATACACGCGCGCACACATGCACTATCGTGCACACTGTACACACACGTACAGCTGATCAGAATCTGCGCGTCCAATCCTACAAGGGCACCGACCGACCCATCCACTGTCGCCACAATATAAACGTGTTGCACAGTGCATTACGTCAAATCAGTGCCAAATACAACAACTGTCTACAAAGTCAAACAGAAAAAAAACCGTGTACGTAACCCTGCCCCCACCCCCTGTGGCTCCCTCTGAAACAAACCTCCAGACTCCAGCCAAGGCAACTTCCGACTGCAGCACCTCCACCACCACTACAACTACTCGAAATTCAAAGCTCGTCCACAGGCTAACTAGCTGGCTAGCTGCGCTCCAAAACAAAGCTCCCATTGTCTGGAACTTGTAGTTTACCATTCTTTTTGCCCGGACTATTGTGATTAAGTCAGATAGGGCAAACTACAAATCCAAAGTCTGCATAGCGCCAGCAAGCACGCGCGCAGACGAGGAAGGTTGAGAATAATTCGTGGCTAAATAATCTTTGCGGACAAGAGCCTTGCACTGTACGCAAGGCTGTACATGTACTTGGCCGAATGGTTGGAGGTGGAAGCGGACAGTCGAGCCGGAGAGAGGAGCTCCAGGTGGTAGCGAGCCCGGCGCCCAAGCCGCAGTAAATGCGGCTGCTGCGCAGAAAACTGAGTGAAGTTGGTCGGCTCGGTTTATCTCTCTCATCCGCTCGCAAACGTCCTCTCCATTCGTCACTTTTTACGTAGCTTTTGAATCACCCGCACTGTTCCAAGTCAAAGTGTTCACAGAAAAACTACTCAAAGAGAAACACTCACCTCTCGAATGTTGCTCTGGTGTCTTCGGTTGCCCCCTAATCCGTTAAAGTAATTCTCCAGACATTACGAAAACACAATAGTTATTCGACGGTGGACTGGCAGTTCACCGAGCGAGACGCTGCCAGGAATGTTCATCCAGTCAACCGACACCACCACCGAGCTGCGCCCGCAACAGCTGCGCATGCGTAGCTCCAATGTGCTGCAACCTGATAGTAACATACAGGGGGCAGCATTCTACTACTGAGTGCTGCTCTTACTACTACTACTGTTATTACTACGACTGCCAATACTAATACTAATACTAAAGCTACTACCATAGAGATAATGTGGTATATTGCACTATATGCTGATACTTCTTACAATAGTATTATACATAATTATACAGAATGAAATAACATACAGCTTTCATTTACATCAATAATTGGTCAGGCTTTTCGTCATAATATTTCATGGATACAACTACTATTACCTGTACTGTACCTACAATACAAATAGAATACACTAAATTAATTACAAAAATACACATTCCATCTACAGTATATACCTGATTTTCAAAATTAAAAATAAATTGACCGTTTTTAGATAATCTTACGTTTATTTTATCACGTTTTAGGTAGTGGTGGAGGTGGGTGATACGTTTGTGAGGGCTTCGCATTATTCTGTGATGTGCATTGAGTTATATTATTCTATATGAGATAGGCATAACGACTACTAACATTTGTACCTGTGCAAAAACACGTTTTACTGTAAACAATGAAAGCGAAAGAGAATAGTGTAAATGTGTTGAGGTATGCTTACAATTTGGCCAGCACCACCACCTTGTGGCCATAAAACATAATTGGTTTCTTTACCTAGCATTACAATTAAACCATGAATAAAAATAGTATAAAGTTAGTAGGTGGAATCAACTCTATCAGTGGAAAATACTATAAGAAAAAAATGAATTTTGGTTTTTCGTTTAGTTCATACAACAAACACGGACAACCACACGCAAAAGTTCATTTTACTAAATACCAATTATAGAAAATATAATTTTAATTTATTTCTTATCGACTTGGTGAAGCAGTAAGACGGCAATAATGGTTGGTTAGTAACAGTTACTCGCCTAAGTTAAAATTATTTCAAAACTTAGCTCTGTTAGCCAAAATTTGATGATTAAAAAAAACTCAAGTGACGTTAGTAATTTAGAATTTAATATTTATTAAATATAATACTTTGCTAACTGGGATGTGTTGTAGTGTATAAAATTTCCATCTTCATGTTACATGTTAATATGTTACAATGTTACAATGGTAGATTACCACTTGAAACCACTTTCCTTTAATGCACACTAGAGGTCAGTCTAGCTTACAATTTGGCATTTATTTCTGCCAATATTTTTTGGCAATATTTTAAAGAAAAATGCTCTACATCGTTTGTTTTATTTTACGGTATTTCCCTGCAATATTTACTGTATGTTATATGTGAGCAATGGAATATATTACAAATATATATTACATATTATTAAAACGTTTGGAACACAAAATGAATGTACCCCAGTATCTTAGAATGACAGAAATTTACAATGGAATGAAGTGAGGATGCAACTTGGCCAAAAAATATTAAGTAGTCTATCTTCTAATTTTGACCTAAGTAAATAGGTTGTGAATTAAATTTGATCTAAGATTAAAACAAAACAATGTAACCGTTCTCGAGAAGCTTCCGTTATACAAAATAAAATCATTTACAGTAATTCATTTGTCAAAGGTCAATAATATTGTCAACAGCTGCCAGAAAGATATAGGTCAGAAGGAAGCACATTAGAAACCACAATACCCACAATGCACAATATCGCAAACAGTCACGGCGGAGACTTTTGTCTCCACCCTACGCGGTGGAGCTGCGCCCTGATATGCAAGCAACGCGCCGGAAGTAAGTACGCAGAAAAGCCTGTGGTCGACGACCATCCCTATGACTAGTAGATCAGCAGAAGCGGTCGCACTTGTTCTTCCCGTCGTTGAGGCGAACACCGGCGTATGAGGATGCAGAGTCACAGCCCACAGACTGACAGCTCGGTCCCCTGGATGTCACGCCTTTAATAGAAGCCCGAGCCTGTTTGAATAACGATGGACGTCGTCTCAGCTGGCTGACAGGCGACGACCAGGAGTGTTTTTCTGTTGCTGTATAGAATTTGGGTTTACGGTCGTTACGGCTCTTCACTGGTCCGCCTCAGTCCGGTGCATCTACACGCCCATGCGACGATGTCGGTGGAAACGACAGGCTTCGGTGTCCAGGTTAGGTTATAGTAAAGACAAGATGTTTACGCAATGAAATAACGTGGGTTTTTTTGTTGCAAAAGACGCAAAGCTAGACTGGGCATATCTGCGCACAAATTAGATACACTATTATTATTATTATTATTATTGTTGTTGTTGTTGTTATAAGAAGAAGGGCTGTCATTTTATACCATAAGACATGGAACCGGCTGCAGTACCTTTATGCAAACCCTTTTTGACCATCTGATTACCACAGTGCGATTATTTCTATCTTCTACAAAGAGTCTTGGAATATTCTTACCTCCGCTACCAGACTATCGATGTATTGATTATTCAATAGGTGATCAGGAGTCATTGTGCTGTGCGTCTGACCGGGAGTGCAGCAGGATCATGGTAAATGCTGTCACCTCTTTACCGTCAGCGGTGCACAAGAGTTTATTCTCCAATGAAGGAATCTCATGACCAGCAACAGAGGCGACTGAACGAGGCCGCTGCGCTCACAAGGAGATCGGGTTGTTGTGATCATACTGGGCTGGATGATGATCCCGGTGCATACATAGAGAGACACCCTCGTAGAGAAACCTGCTGCCCCGTCGTTGGCTTGTTTCCGTGAGCGTTCATCCATCTTATACAGGACCGGGCCTGTTGGTGAAACGCTACCGATGAAGGCGCAAACAGACTCCTAAGTGGCCCACTGACTCTGACCGGACCGGCATCTGTGGATCTAGGGCGAATATTACTGCTCAACAAATATTCCATATTCATGGACATGGCAAGCGGGGGAGGTGCGTCCACATTGGGCTGGAATAATAAGGACCTCCGCTTAGAAGATTTCACTCGGCTCACACACAGACTGCTGTTTTTATTGGCCCCATAAATGCTCTTTATTTATTTTGCCAAAATTAATCAGACAATCAGTGGTGGGTTTATTATGAGGCGTCTCTAATAAAGTCAGTGTACTCTGCTTTTATGCATATGACAGATAGACTGATAAAAACTGAACACCCCAAAATTGGATATTGTTGAAAAGGTCACAATTAGTATGACTGAGTAATTAACAGTAGTTACATGTCCAGGTGCTGCACACAGGAATTATGACTGGGCTTCATCAGACCTGCTGCTTCACATGAAAGACACCATTGTGAAAGCAATCATTTGAGTTTGATGGGCGGTTGAACTCACCGGTCCACCCAGCTGACCGTCTGTTTGACCTGGACCTTGAATGAACTTGCTATTGGGAATTCATGTTACTTATACACTGCATAGCAACACCACAGAAGCAACCAGTGAGTGGATTTGGCACAGTTTCAGCAGAGAGATGTTGTGATAAGAGAGAGCAGTTGCAGCCCCCTGATCTTCTGATCCCTTCTCTCCCCCACTGGTGGCCGAGAACACCCCCTCTCAGTCAATGGGCGCTGTATGGATTTTGCGCCTGAGTTGACAGAGGACAAACCAACAGCGTCAAAAAGCAACCACGCTGCCATGAACCCCTACGGCAGAGTGAGCAGCACAGCAACCCCCCTCTGCACCAGCTGTGGGGGCTGCTGCTCCCCACCTCCTCCCTGCCTAATTACACCCGGCCCTCATTCCTCCTCCACTACCTCTTCCTCCTTTTCCCCAATTCCCCCGAATATGACCCCTCCACCACCAATGTTTCCTGCTCCAGCTGTGCAGGGCGAGAACGGCAGCAGCTGGAACTCCACCATCTCTTTCTCTGGCTCCCCAGACTCCCATGAGGGTCACCACTGTGGAACTAACAACCCCTACTGGACAGCAGTTTTTGACTATGAAGCCACAGCAGATGAGGAGCTAACACTGCGGCGTGGTGACCTGCTTGAGGTTCTCTCAAAAGACTCCAAAGTATCTGGGGACGAGGGTTGGTGGACAGGTAAGATCCAGGACAAGGTGGGAATCTTTCCCAGCAACTACGTCACAAAAGGTGATGCCACGAACTATCAGCAGCTCACCGCAGGGGGTTTGGTGGTGGGAGGTGTTGGTGAATGCCCCTTGGAGATAGACTTCTCAGAACTCTTACTCGAAGAGGTTATAGGAGCTGGTGGATTTGGGAAAGTATACAGAGGACTGTGGCGTAGAGAGGAAGTAGCAGTGAAGGCAGCCAGGCAGGACCCTGACGAGGATATCAGCGTCACCGCACAGAGTGTGCGTCAGGAGGCCAGGCTGTTCTGGATGCTGCGGCACCCCAACATAATTGCACTTCGTGGAGTTTGTTTGCGTGAACCCAACTTGTGTCTAGTGATGGAATATGCCAGAGGTGGGGCTTTGAACCGGGCCTTGGCTGGAAAGAAGGTGCCACCAAGGGTTCTGGTGAACTGGGCCGTCCAGATTGCTACGGGAATGGATTACCTTCACAACCAGGCATTTGTACCCATCATCCATAGAGACCTCAAGTCCAGCAACAGTAAGTACTGCAAACATGTAAATAACTTCATTTTGTCTTTTGGTGTAGTGTTTACATATCATACCAAAACATTCGGTGACTATATTACTAAATAAGTATCACAACATTGTCAAAAAGAAACATTTTTGCTACACACTGACTATGTCCACCACATCTGTGACCTTTGTATGACTGTTATATATTGAAAGATCAAAAGTGTTAAGTTGTAGCTTAAAGTCAGCTTGATAAAAACACATTTAAAAACAGAACAACAAAAAAGATAAGAAATAGCTTTAATTACATCTAAGGTGAAATCTGGATTATTAAAATCAATACAAAATCTAAAAACGTATGGCTGGAAAAATACTTAAAAATATAACACACATAACAATACACATAAAATAACACATAAACTAAAAGATAGTAATAACTGTAGCAGGGAGATATCCAGTGTTGCAGTGTCGCTATCCACTCCTTGACAGTAAACAAATAACCTGCTGTGTGCACACATGAATGTCTGCAGCATAAATATTCAAAACACAAATGTAGAGATAAATACTGTGGGAAACACATGGGGTGTGCAGTAAATGGCACACTCAGTGGAGTCATTTGGGCTGTATGTAGAAAGATGTTTGTTTAGTTTTAAATGTAATGTATGCTCTACATCCTGAAGGAAATATACTCATTTATAGGGCTGCTAAAATTAACAAAGTCACTATGAGTTACTATAGACGTTTAACGCCACAGTCACATGATGTTTGAAGCAATTCAATGTGAGCTAACTATGGACAATAATAGGACTGATCGTGAATGAATATTTTAATGAATTTGTTTACATTTGTTGTTGTTACATCTACAGGTTTAGTAACAATTTCAGTGTGCCCATGGTAACCCAGAGCCATGATTAGTGACAATTAAAACAATTCATTAATATGCCATAGAATTATTATTTCTTTAAATATTCAGAGGTCTTCTGAGGTTACAACAAATTACACTAGTAGAGGTTGAGGCAAGCTGTTCCTTTCGGCAGAACAATGAAGCCGTGTGTTAAAACGGCTGAGCCAAATATTTTTTCACAAATGTCAAATAATGCAATAGCAAATAGCAGACACAGGGACAAAACAGAAACCACAGTGTCAATGTTAAATGTATTGTTAAAAACCTAATTGAATAATTATATATTGCATTGAATAATGTCCATATTGACCTGTTTGACCTGGCTGAGATCCTATTTGTGGTGACGGCAATTACTGTGTCCACGTAGTAACAGATTGTAGCACAGTTCCACAGGGACCTGTGGTTCTATTATTATTCGTACATATACTAGAGTATGTACAAATATGCTAAAAGGCTTTTTATCAGCGAACGTACAAGAGTCTGAAAGACAGATGCAGGCGATAAAGTGTGTGAATCTACCTCTATAATCTTCCAACCCAATCTTTACCCTTTCCCTCTCCCGCTGCTCCTGCGGCCCCTCCTCCTCCTGCAGGAGCAGTGCTTCTGCTCTGCAACTAACTGTGCTATTTTTGGTCCTTTGTGCTACTTGCTTTTTAAAGACGCAGTTGCAAGTGTTGGTTTGTCAAAGAAATAATACACAGCTGGCATCTTGAATGCCCTAATGTATGGGCCAATGTTTGTTTTTTAAGACACACAGTCTGGACTTTAGACCATGTGTGTATATTCCGAGGGATCTGAAGGCAAAATAGACCAAAATACATTTTTAACAGCAGTTAAACAGCAGTTTGAAAGACTTGATTTAAAAAAAAAATTGAAATCCAGGACAATTTCAAAAAAATATATATATATAATGTTTATATTATATGGTTCATGTCACATTTTGTCACTGAAGTGAAACAGATGCTCTGACACAGTAAGAATTCTATGTCAGAGAAGTTGGTGATGCTCAGGTCCTCATCTTTCAAAATAAAGTACATGTCTGGAATGAGGTACTAGAGGAAAATGGGTTCCCGTGTATCCGACTTTCTGAAGCTGGTACAATAGGTCTGCTAGATCTGTGTCTGTCCACTAGGCAGTTAAACTCATATACATTAAACTAATTACTATATATAATGTTTATATTATATGGTTCATGTCACATTTTGTCACTGAAGTGAAACAGATGCTCTGACACAGTAAGAATTCTATGTCAGAGAAGTTGGTGATGCTCAGGTCCTCATCTTTCAAAATAAAGTACATGTCTGGAATGAGGTACTAGAGGAAAATGGGTTCCCGTGTATCCGACTTTCTGAAGCTGGTACAATAGGTCTGCTAGATCTGTGTCTGTCCACTGGGCAGTTAAACTCATATACATTAAACTAATGTTACTCATCCAAATGTCAGAGTTGCTGCTTTGGAGTTAGCCTCACTGCTAACGCAGCTTGACATGACTTTAAACAGCTAATGCTACATCTGAAAAACAAAAACAAAAGCAAAACTGCTGGGCAGTTGTCCTGTTGCTATGTTTGTTGTTCTGAACAAATGGTGGCTCTTACATGTGGTACAAATATTAAGCTTGGAGTGTTCTTGGCTCACTGTGTGTGTGAATTACTTCCAGGTTAACGACTAACGTTAGCCTGGTTAGGCTAATGTTAGCTTCTGCTTGTGAGCCTGAGCTTCTTCCCCTGTTCTCTCAAAACAGAAGGCATGAACAACGCTAGTAGCTGGTTAAGGCTAATCATGCTGGTGATCAGCCAATTCCAATCGCTCTCAGGTCGATCGGTGCAGCTCTACCATTGGCTCTTTACTCCTCTTCATTCTCCCTCTCTACAGTGCATTTTACACTCCAGGCGTTTGGAGCTTCTCTTCCTCCTGCAGCCGCTGGTGGAGTCAGATAAGTATTGGTCAGACAACAACTCACCAGAGCTGCCTATCCGCGTTGACATCGGCACTGTTTCCGTGTCACTGAGTCACACAGCTGAAAGCTGTTAGCTGAGGCCTTAAATGTCACTCCTTCAAATAAGAGGTTTGTTTGTGTGGCATTAGAGAGTGAAGAAGTGCAGAAATATCTCAGCTGAGACCCTTCTTGTTCTCCTCAGATGAAATGATGAAGACGTGTGGGTGCTAATTGTTAAGTACGTGATTATATGAGTCACACGGAGGGTTTGACTCCACAGTGCCCAGAAGAAAAAGGGCATCGGGGGAAAGTGAGAAGGAGGAGATGAGGGGAGTGAAGTAAATCAAAAAGATGAGGAGAATAACGCAGGGGAGTAAAATGTGTTCTCGATAGAAAATAAGCCCAGGGATGAGCGAAAGAGGGAGAGTTGGGGATGTAAAAAGTGAGAAACGACACTGACGGTAAAGAACAAGAGAAGGGGAGCGTGGGGGATAAACTGCAGTTCATCTCAGTTTAGGGTTACACCTCAGCTCATTGTCAAGGTGCTCTGGTCTCAGGTGTCCTCTTCAAACTGCCGACCACTTGGCATCAGTGTGGTTACAAAGTCAGCTCAGGCCCCTGAGCTTCTCCTCTGTCTTTAGTAAACAATCTTCCTTCTCCCACTGAGAAATTCATCAGGGCAAAAGCACAACGCTGCTGGTTTTTGCATTTTCAAAAGATGCCTCTGAAATCATGTTCGATTTGACGTTTTTATCCTGAGTGACAGAGTTTGGTCCAAAGAGGAATAATCTGATTGCCATGACAGTGCTGTGTCACAGTGGGTTTGTGGGATGGCCGGTCATTGCCCTGGTTTACACACTTCACCTCCCTCTCTCAGAACCAGGATGAGTCTGAAGTTGTTCGGTGCACAGTGCGTCCATTCTCATCCATCATGTATTTGTTATATGTAAGTAAGGTTCTAAAAACGCAGGGACTTTTATTTTGAAAATCTTGAGTTATCCTTCCATATCGCGTGAGTTTTTATTCTAAGAAAAAATGTTGTTTAGGTAGAAATGATCCAGCCAGGCTAGTGTAGCATTAGCACAACTCCATTGTCTTGCCAAGCATAACATGAATGCAAGTGTAATCATTAAGTAGCTCTGGATGGCCACTAACATAATTCAGCAAAATGTTATGTTACCCAAACATGTCAAATGTCTTAAACTAAATAAAAGTTAGAAAATAATAATAAAAATATGTGTATAAACACGTAAAGGGTGACAGGTGGTACCTGTGCTTGCTGCTTCACTTTCTGATGTAGTAACCAGTCAACACTGAACACCACTGAACGTCACTTCCTGAGACGTGAGGTTGATCATAAAGCCTAAAAAAGGGAAAAAAAGTTTTATTATAGACAACAGATTGCCAACGCAATATCTGTTCCAATTTCTGCCCAAATACACAGGCTTTAAAAAACCTGCTACAAATTTTTGTTTAGTACATTATTATAGCCAGAAAGTTCAAAAGTGCTGTGAGAGATATGACAGACATATCACAAAAAAACCTAAATGTTTTCTGAAGTTTTACTTTCTTAATGAAACACCCAGAAAATCCAACTCAAAAAATACAATAAAATAGAATATTGATAAAGGTAAAAGTATCATGGTTTAAGAAGAGGAATATAAATAAACTGGGGTTTGAAACGAACATCAGAAACCTGCCGGTCACAGGTCACATAAAACCCACCCTGGTGCCACGAAAAGCCCCAGGGCAGAGTAACTTAGTGGTCTGTGAGAATTCCGCAAAGCAGTCAACAAATAAGGACCAGGTAAATGGATCTAGACGGGTTTTTTTTTTCCTCCGTTGCATTTGTTTCATTCTCACTGCCAGGATGCAACGACTGAGTCATGGTTTCATTAGAAGCCACTGAGAGTCACCGACACCACATGCAGGCCTCGGTGGAGTCTGCAGGTAAAACAATACAGGTGAGCTGATCACCTGTTGCTACCAACAGCCGTACACAGACAGGACAGGGCTCTCATGTAATGTACAGGCTCCCTGTGGACGTTATGTTCTGTGATGATGTGCAAGCGCGTGGTTTCTGTGATGTTAAACGTATGTACAGTACCGGCCAATGACGAGCCACGTTGACATTATCAGCTGTTTTGTATCTGCTGTCGCTCGAAATGGAAGCCATGTTTACACAGTC